ATCCCTCGCACGTCACGACGAAGTGGTGAGTTCAACCCAAAACGGTTGTTACATTTCTAAAAAGTACTTATGAGCCGAAAACGGACACCGTGTGCAAAAGTTATGCCTAATTCTTCGAACGCCGACAATCCATGCCTTCCAAATAAAAAAGTACTCATTCTTTCAAAAATGGCCAAAATCCCTCATACGTCACGATGAAGTAGTGAGTTCAATCCAAAATGGTCGCAACATTTCCAAAAAGTACTTATGGGCTGAAAACGGACACCGTGTGCAAATTTACACTCAATTCTTCGAACGCTGACAATACAAGCGGTCCAAATATGCAAGTGCTCATTCTTTCGAAAAATGGCCAAAGTCCCTTACACGTCACGACGAAGCGACGAGTTCAGTCCAAAATGATCGCTGTATTTTTGAAAAGTACTTATCGGCCTAAAACGGACACCTTGTGCAAAAGTTACGCTCAATTCTTCGAACGCCTACAATACAAGCGCTCCAAATTTGCAAGTGCTCATTCTTTCGAAAAATGGCCAAAATCCCTCATACGTCACGACGAAGTAGTGAGTTCAATCTAAAACGGTCGCTACATTTCCAAAAAGTACTTATGGGCCCAAAACAGATACCGTGTGCAAAAGTTAAGCTCAATTCTTCGTACGCCGACAATCCAAGCGCTCCATGTATGCAAGTGCTCATTCTTTCGAAAAACAGCCTAAATCCCTCATACATCACAACGAAGTCGTGACTTCAATCCAAAACGGTCGCTACATTTCCAAAAAGTACTTATGGGCCGAAAACGGACACCGTGTGCAAAAGTTGCGCTCAATTCTTCGAACGCCGACAATACTAGCGCTCCAAATATGCAAGTGCTCATTCTTTCGAAAAATGGCCAAAATCCCTCATACGTCTGGACGAAGTAGTGAGTTCAATCCAAAACGATCGCTACATTTCCAAAAATTACTTATGGGCCGAAAAGGACTCCGTGTGCAAAAGTTACGCTAAATTCTTCAAACGCCGACAATCCAAGAGCTCCAAATATGCAAGTGCTCATTCTTTCGAAAGATGGCCATAATCCCTCATACGTCACGATGAAGTTGTGAGTTCAATCCAAAATGGTCGCTACATTTCCAAAAAGTACTTTTGGACCAAAAACGGACACTGTGTACAAAAGTTAAGCTCAATTATTCGGACGTCGACAATCCAAGCGCTCCAAATATGCAAGTGCTCATTCTTTCGAAA